GCAATTGCCACAAAGGCTAGGTTCTACCGCTACTGTTGGAGTTGATATGCCTCCAAATGCCAGTTCCTGGGAATCACAAGTGCTGTGTTGCTTAGCCTTCTGTTTCCTTAGGCACCTGGTTGGCTGATATAAGAAGAGGATGCTGTAGTAGATGGGCCACTAACCAGATACAGTAGGCTCTTCTCATCTTCTTATGCTGAGATTCCTGAGTCTACCTTTATTTAATTTTGGTGGGGGGTAGAAGAGAAGAATCACTCATCCGCAATACCATTTTCATTGTCCTTGACTACTTAGTTATAATGTTTCTTGAACAATACTTCAGATACAGACTATTTCAAACAGAGTAGTTTGTTTACTCTGTTTGTTTAAAATAGTTATTAACAGGGGAGGCCTCAGTGAAGCTACAAGCTGTGTATTTGCTTGGCTTTGCCTTCCTCCTGCAAAAACATTTGTTTCACAGCAAAAACAACTCCTGATTCACTTCTAATTACTTGGTAGGTGTGAAGGGAACATTACCAGGCATTGCCAAAAATAAAGATGGTGCTCTTAGTGATTATTTCCATCCTCTGGAAAAGATGGGTCTAGGCCAGAATTGCGAATTGCAGCCAGACAAGAAGGCTCCTGGAACACAAAGGTCTGCCTGGCAAACTCAGACCCAAGCCAAGCTAGATAGCTCTGGCTTCAGGAAAGAATTAGTGGCTCAATTGCTCATTTTTAAGCACAAGCTCATGGAGAGCTGGAGCACAATGTGGAGCCAAGATGGCTGTGTTTGGCATGCATCTTGGTCACATTGCAACATTGACCTCTGAAACTCTAGACATGGGACTTCAGAACTCAGAGCAATTATTATTTCTGTGTTGAGAAAGCAAACTTGATTAAGAAAAATCTGGAGGCAATCAGATGAAGAAATGTTCGTTTTTGTGGATGTTGGAAGGCATAGAAGACTGGGAGAATTTGGCTTTAATGCAAGTTAACATGGTTGATGACAGATATAATGGGATTTGAAATAATAGGTGCCCACTTTGAACGAGCACACAGCATGCATACACCTAAAGACACCACTCTTCCAATATACATTACTTCTCACAATTCATTAAAAAAAGAGAATTAATTATGAAATTGAGAAAAATTAATGATTAATGAAGGAAAGCCAATAATGGTACTTCAAAATTCTAGCCAAAAGACTAGGTGCAGAATTCAGTGGCCAGGTTCATCATCATCATCATCATCATCATCATCATCATCATCATCTTTGAGGTTGGTAATGGGCATGTTGCGAAAGGCGGGAATTCAGTACTGCTGGGGCTTCCATTTTAATTTATCTGTTGTCTGAAATGGTACCACTCACTCTAAAATGAGGAAGCCTTCATGATTTCAACAGCATGTGGCTTGGAACCCCCTGAAGCTACCAAAGTTGTTGAAGAAGGAGGAGAAGGAGAAGGAGAAGGAGAAGCAGGACCGTCACATTGACACATTGCTTGGGAGTGACAAAATGGCGGCTGAACTTCACTGAGGAGACCAGCTCTGAATGACAAGCCAGGCAGACCAGACAAAGGACAACCACCAAGACCAGCTCAACAAAGACAGATACATATAATATTCCAAGTATCATGATGCCTACTACTTTGCTTGATGTTTTCATCTTTATATGCTATATTTCTAGGAGTCAATTTACTACATCTTCATATATTAATAACATGGGTTGAAGCGCAGGGCGTGGGGGGGGGGGAGAGAAGATCAGTCCCATCCCCATATTTTTATAGTTCACTAAGAGAGGCAGGGACGTGCGTGGCTCTGTGGGTTAAAACAGAGCCTAGGACTTGCAGAAGGTCAGCGGTTCGAATCCCCACGACAGGGTGAGCTCCTATTGCTCGGTCCCAGCTCCTGCCAACCTAGCAGTTCGAAAGCAAGTCAAAGTGCAAGTAGATAAATAGGTAGCACTCCAGCGGGAAGGTAAACGGCATTTCCGTGCGCTGCTCTGGTTCGCCAGAAGCGGCTTAGTCATGCTGGCCACATGACCCGGAAGCTGTATGCCAGCTCCCTCGGCCAATAAAGCGAGATGAGCGCCGCAACCCCAGAGTCAGTCACGACTGGACCTAATGGTCAGGGGTCCCTTTACCTTTACCTTTAAGAGAGAGGCAGGAGTGGGGTTTCTTCCTGGTTTTCTTTAATTTATATTAAATTCACTGTTACAGCAACTTCCCCCACAATGGAGTAGTTTTTACCTTAAAGTCTAAGTTCTCATTCTATGCTTAAGGACATAGACAAAGATTCTGTGAAAGTAATATAGCCTTTTTGATCAGACTGTATACTTTCTTATCTACTTGATATGTCTTGCCAATTTGTTGTGAAACTGAGGACTAGGTAATTAACATTACAGCTTTTTGTTCTCTGTTACATCATTTTTAGTCCTCTTCTGCAAATATTCATGTAGTGAGTGAGAAGGATCTATGTTCTCATACTACTAGCATGCCTGGAGAACCTGAAAAATATGTATGTTTGGGGGGCACGTGAAACTAAAACATGACGGGTCCTTTTTCATGGAAAACCTCCATGTAGAGCCTCATAAGGTGATTTATAAAAAATTATTGAACTGAAAAAAGCAGATAAATCACTGACTTCAACCTAATATATTGCTTGAATGCTTCACCTATAGCACTGCCATGACCATCATCATAATCATTTTAAACTGGGTACTGTACTCCATCATAGCTAGAAGTGACAATAGCAGGCTTTCAGTGGGAAAGGGTGTTTTCCTTGTTATTGATTGATGGTGGATTAGTACTTTGTATGACCTTATTGCTTTTGACTGTTTCGCGGTATCATTGCATTCTTTGCTATTTATTGTGAGTCACATTGATAACTTTTTCAGTAAAAAACAACGGATGAATTTAATTTTTTTTAAAAACCTACCATCTAGGTCACATAGGTCCACATGGTTTGATATACATTTCCTTTTTATTGCCTTTTTTTAAAAAAAAAATCTTGAAATATTGAGGTGCCTCTCTAGGCAGGAACAAAATCTTCCAGTCAGCATGCTATGCCTGGACACGTCCATACTACTTGGTGCCAGTGTTATTCTTCTAGAAAAAGAGGTGCTAGAACTCACCATGAACTCCTTCCTCTTCCCCTTTGAATGGCAATGGCACAAATCTGAGAGCTGCTGGAACTCACCTGAGAGATTCCAGAACCCACCTGAGAGGTGCTGGAACTGAGTTCTGGTGAGTCCCCCCTGAAAAAAGCCCTACTTGGCACACAGAAATATAGGATGTCCCTATTTTTACCAGAGAAATGTTGGAGGGTATGAAACAAACAAAACAGCACATGGAAGGAACTGGAATTTAGTCTAGCTCTGAGCACGTTTGCAGATCCTTGTTGAAAAGCTTTGAACATTAAATGTTTGGGATGTAATCTTAGGGAAGGTCCTGCTCTGTGGCAATTATGCATGCTATAATCACTATAAATAAAGGTGGGGAAACAGTTTTTGTTTTACCTGGAAGCATCCTCCCCACCCCACCCAAAAAAAATTGGTTCACCCATGGAATCTGCTAGAGTTGTGCTCTATTTTTCGTAACTACTGCAGGAACTTACCAAAAGATCTCATATGCTGTCTGCTCCATCCTAATCCTTGTCACCTGGAACTCTTACTAGAGTCATAAATCATGAGTGGGGTTGATAGTAATTTTGGCTCAGGAATAGCCTGTCAAGTGCCTGTGATGGAATCTATGGTGGTGGCAGCCAGAAAAAGGCCTATCAGGCAAATTTCAGGAGCTGCTGCCAGACCTTTCCTTCAGAGTGGCATGGGCTGCTATCAGGAAGTGTCTGGCAGTTTTAATTTTGGAGGGAGGGTCCCCCAATGAGAAGATTTAAGGATACAGCGGTACCTTGGGTTACAGACGCTTCAGGTTACAGACTCTGCTAACCCAGAAATACTACCTCAGGTTAAAAACTTTACTTCAGGATGAGAACAGAAATCGCGCAGCGGCAGCAGGAGGCCCCATAAGCTAAAGTGGTACCTCAGGTTAAGAACAGTTTCAGGTTAAGAACGGACCTCCAGAATGAATTAAGTTCTTAACCCGAGGTACTACTGTATATTACTGCATCTGTTCTGAAGACAGGGGTTTCTCCTCAAAAAACTTTATTCAGACTGGTGTGTTTTTAGTGGTGGTGCTAATGCTAATACTACATTAAAAAACAAAGTAAAACTGAAAGTGAAACTGATGAGGCTACTGAAAGTCAAGAAGTAGCACCATGAAGGATAACGCAGGAAGGCAGAGTTATAGGCTGCCACCAAACAGGGGTGCCAACTTGAATAAAAATATGCAGGGGCAGGTAAGCCCCGCATCATCAGTCACAAGACACGGTGCACACACACCATTTGAATGGCAATGCCCATTAGCTTGGGGGAGGGGGGTGTCTAAATTTTTTTATTGGAGGGCCTGAAAGGACCTCAGCTCCTAGGAGTTGGCTCCAGAGCCACTAACCATGCCACTGCCCACTTCTCTTTGCTGGTTGAGACGGTAGTGCTACTCAGTTGTGCTGGAAGGCTGGAAAACAGGCAACAAAGCAGCTCTGGGGGCAGGGGAACGGGAATATACTTGATGAAAATCACAGGAATGCACTTGAGCCAGTGTGGTGCAGTGGTTAAGAGTCGTGGACTGGTAATCTGGGGAACCGGGTTCGCGTCTCCGCTCCTCCACATGCAGCTGCTGGGTGACCTTGGGCCAGTCACACTTCTCTGAAGTCTCTCAGCCTCACTCACTTCACAGAGTGTTTGTTGTGGGGGAGGAAGGGAAAGGAGAATGTTAGCCGCCTTGAGACTCCTTCGGGTAGTGATAAAGCAGGATATCAAATCCAAACTCTTCTGCTTCTCTTCTTTGGGAAGGACATTGTTTCGATTCTGTGGCACAAATCAGTCTGCAAATTTTGTCCATACCAGATGAAAAGGCTGCTGTGAAACTACCCCACATGGGATGTCCGTCTGCCCATAGTGACTAGAAATGCATTCAAGTTTATTATCTGCCCTCTCTGCTCCAACATTTCTGTGTGATGCCAAGGCTGAAGAAAGGTGGGTGTGGGCCTGGGAGTTGATTGGCTCCCCATGGATGCAACTGTTCCCACCACGTGGAAGGGAAAGCAAGACTGTCTCCTGGTTGTGCTCCTCCCATAGTCTCTGTGCTCTACTAAATATATTACTATGTTACTCTGGCTGCTATAATTTGTTAATTTGAATAAATAAGGTTGTTTGGAAGAGAGAGCGAGAGAGCGCTACCTTGTCATCCAAAATGGCACCTCAATTTTTCCTGGGTGGGGGCTTGAACCAGAATTGAATAGAAAGGAAGTAAAATAAGCCCTTGACGGACAGTACACTGTCCTGGGTGCTGACCCAAGAGCTGCATAAGATTAATCTAGAAGCCAGTGAGGAAACTGCGTAGGACTGGTAGTTTATAGTATGTCTGAAAGAAAACCATATGCCTATTTCTACTTCAGTGAATAAAGGTCACAAGAAAAACATCTGGGATATGATTAGCTATCACACAACCTTTTAAATAATGCTATGGACAAATTAAGGGCATTGTGAAATTACTTTTTAATAGGCTATGTCTCAGTCTGCGCCAAATCTTGATTTCCTGGAATCATTTTTTTAATCATCTGTTTATCATTCTTGCTGTGGAATCAAGCCAAGTGAAGCAGCACAACTAGATACTTTGAAGTCTAGTAATGCTACCACAGTTTCCACTGTGTGTGCCTGAACTACTGACAGGACTGAACTACTTAACAAAGTAGCACTTAGCTCGGCTTTCCCAGTGTGACTTTCCAGGATTTCAGGTATACAATTCCTGCGGTGGCTGGCCCATTAGGGCAAATAGGATATTGTTCTACTAACCTCAGTCTTGATTCCTCCAAGACCACCAGTCTGCATTCTTACTTAAAACCAGCCCTGGCTGCCTGCTTACTCCTCTGTAGTCCTTGTACAACTGAGCAGGGAGGTGGATGGGGACAAAGTAATTAGTTGGCTAGTCCAGTAACGGCTAGACCAGGCACGTCCAACAGGTAGATCGTGATCTACTGGTAGATCACTGGACGTCTGTGGTAGATCACTGGTAGATCACTGCCTCCCCCCAAAGAACCTCAACAACTTTGGCTCCCCTAAAAAAAGCTCATTTTTTTTGCCTTGCATCCCCCAAAAACGGGGCTTTCCTTCTCCCTAAAAAAAGCTCAATAACAACTTTGATCTGAATGCCTAAAAAATGGGCCTTCCTCCTCCCCAAAAAGCTCAACAACTTTGACCTGAATCCCCCAAAAGGGGGTAGATTACTGCCAGTGTTTAACTCTGTAAGTAGATTGCAGTCTCTTGGGAGTTGGCCATCCCTGGTCTAGACTATGTAGAACAGAGACAGACAACAAGATGTTGCTGAACTACAACCTGCACCATCCCTCACCACCAGCCATGCTGATGGGAGTCATAGTCCAACAATATCTGGAGGGTGCAACAGCTGCTACCCTTGCTCTAGAGGGCTTATCCTTCTTTAGGTGGAGATGCCTAGATGGCAGATTAGCTGGGAATTAACCTGTAAACTTGCAATTCAACTGGTTTCAGTACCTTGATCTGTGAAACTCACCTAGGCTGGATCTACACTGACCTGTTTAACATTACTTTCCCCTGTTAGAAAGATATAGATATGTTGCTCTAAAATGCCACAGGGCATACCTGTTAATTACCTTGGCTTTTTTGGGGGGGGGGTTTAAATGTAAGTAATACCCGGCCACACCATTTTCCAAAACGCTGTTTCTTTCCCTGCTAGGATGGAAGAAGCAAAAAAACGGGAGGAGAAGCTGAACACTGTCCCTTGAATACCATTGGAGGAGGGATCAGAGTTTGAATGCAGTAAAAAAAAAAGGCAAAACACTACACAGGGACATATGAGCAGTGTTTCACCTATATGGCTGCATAAAATGATTAAAAATTAAGTGATAAAAAGACAAGGTAATAATGCATTATGAATGTAAAAAGTAGGATGTCATGTGTCCATCTGCACCAGGGGTAGTCAACCTGGTCCCTACCGCCCACTAGTGGGCATTTTAGGATTCTGGGTGGGCGGTAGGGGGGGCACATGTTATTGCAGCACTGGTGGGCGGTAAGGAAATTTTACCATCAAGAAAGTTGCATTAGTGGGTGGTAGGTATAAAAAGGTTGACTACCCCGATCTACACTATCAAAACCATTCCTTAATGTTAAAAACCATGAGTGTAGATCTGCCCCTGCTTTTAGCTGCTTGTGGATTCCCCTCTGGAAAAAAATATTTATCATAGCATCATACTGCATGATTCCCAGTGATGAGGCCAAGCACAAAGGATCTTGGGTGGTATTTCAGTCTGAAAGAAAAAAAACCCCTCATAGCATTCACTAAACTCTACATTGTATATTCTATACAAACCGACTATCCCAAACCAGACAGTTACATAGCAGTTAAATAAACCGGGATGCCTGTGGCAACGAAACACAGTTGTCTCAAGTGTTCAGCAAATATTATTATTCTCCACATTCTTCTTAAAGCAAATGTAGTGTTTTCCTGGAACCCTGCATGCCTCATGCTGAAAACTTTGTTAATCCTGTACCATGCTAGGGAAAAGTTCAAGCTCTTGCTGAAAACTTCATTTTGTTAACTTAGAAACCACCAGTGTGGCAACAACTGCATTCCATTACTCAATCTGGATGAGAAAGGCATTTAGCACATTCTATGGTGCTGATTCCTGCCATTGTAAACTGGATCCTGAAGCATATTATATCAGTTTAACCAGATTTCGAGTTAGTATCCAGTTTCAGAAAAGCATGGGGCAATAAAGGGTACAAGACTTTTAGCTCAGGCTCCCATATTATAACCTCTCATTTTGTTTATTTATTACTTCACAGGGTAAATGTGTTCAAGCCTCCAAAAAAGGGTCAAAGGACAAGCTGTACAGCTGTTCCCGTTATGCATATTTACTTAGGAATAACACCCACTGATTCCCATAAAGTGTGTATAGATTGTAAAATGCTAGTGTCACATTTTAGCATGGTGCTTTGCCTGTTCGCTTTATTTTTTTGGTGAGAACTACTTGTCCGCATGTAGCCGGGAGTACTGGAGAAGTACATGCAGGGCTGTCCTTAGGATAAATACAAACATAGCTTTTCAATTCAACTTGGTGTCCCCTCAGACCCACAACCCTGGCAACTGCCTAGTTCACCCACCCCTAAGGCCAACCCTGGTTAGATGACACAAATAAAAACTGTAACAGTACAGTCTGGTTGTGATCGTTTTGCCTGCTTCAGCCAAGAAAATGGGGCTTGCTAAGGGCCCAATTTGTTTACATGTATTATTATTAATAACCATAATTAGTTGCTTTTTTGCATGGCAGCTCAAAGCGACTTATAATATTTTAAGCAAAAACCAAACACATACATACATGGAAACCAGCATTTAAAAAAAAGAATCTGAAAGACAATTCTATTTTTTAAAAAGGTAGATCGAAACAGCCCAACCCCACAAAAGGCTGTAATTAAAAGCCAAAGCCTGATGGAATGAATGAACGATCTTCCCTAGAAGATAATGTAATTATGGTACCAAGCAGTGCTTTTTTTAAAAGAAAAAGAAAACAAAAAATGTCGGTACTCACCATGAAGTTTTTACAGTAAGTGCCACACTTTTAATATTGGGGGGTGGGGTGCTGGTACTGTGTACCCTTGAGTACTCCCATAAAAAAAAACACGGGCACCAAAGGAGACTCATTCTATAAACAGGGAGCCACCACTGAAAAGGCCCCTTCTCTTGTTGCTATCCTCTAGACCTCCTGCTCAAAGAAGGGTCCTCAGATGATGTTTGCAGTTTCCAGATGGGTTCACATGGGGAGAGGCAGTCCTTGGAGAATTGGGGTCCTGAGCCACAAAAGACTTTATAGGTCAAACCCAGCACTTTGAATGGTGCCAGTTTTATTAGAAGTGCCATCCAGTTAAAGGAGTTTTCAGAATGGGTTTGTAGTTATGCTCTCCCCAGGGAGGTTTGGCTGGTGCCTTTATTATACCCCTTTAGGCGGCAGGTGAAAAGGTTTTTCTTCCACCTGGGCCTTGGGCTGATGGACATGTGAAATATAGAATCCTAGACTTGGAAGGGACCCTGTGGATTATCTAGTCCAACCTTCTGCAATGCAGGAATATGCAGCTGCCCCATATGGCGGATCAAACCTGCATCCTTGGGGTTATCAGCACCAAGGTTATTGGTTTCTTTTGGTTCTTAATTTTATTATGCACTTTGTGGTTTGTTGGTTTATTTTCCTTCTTATTCTTATTGTGTTTTTCATACTGTCATGTTGATGTTGTGAGCTGCCCTGAGAGGTACAGACGAAAGGCGGTCCACAAATTTAATACATAATAGTAATTTTTTGTGATGTATGGAATTAATAGTGATGTATGGAAGTGAGAGCTGGACCATAAAGAAGGGTGATCACCGAAGAATTGATGCTTTTGAATTATGGTGTTGGAGGAGACTCTTGAGAGTCCCATGGACTGCAAGAAGATCAAACCTATCCATTCTGAAGGAAATCAGCCCTGAGGGCTCACTGGAAGGACAGATCCTGAAGCTGAGGCTCCAATACTTTGGCCACCTCATGAGAAGAGAAGACTCCCTGGAAAAGACCCTGATGCTGGGAAAGATGGAGGGCACAAGGAGAAAGGGACGACAGAGGACGAGATGGTTGGACAGTGTTCTCGAAGCTACAAACATGAGTCTGACCAAACTGTGGGAGGCAGTGGAAGACAGGAGTGCCTGGCGTGCTCTGGTCCATGGGGTCACGAAGAGTCGGACACGACTAAACGACTAAACAACAACAACAAGTAATTTTTATTCTTATCCTCAGCCACTCCCTAGGGCTGATTTCTGAGGAGCCGGGCAGGTGAGGATCAAGCTCGCGAGTCTCGGCTTGTTCCCTGAGCCAGGATCCGGGATACGAGTCCATTCTTCCGCGACTGGGTGATTCAGAGCAGCCCCGGCGCTCTTGGCAGCGACCACCCACCGCCTCCTCCGTCCCGCCCAAGTGTCCAGGGCCGCCAAGAGGCGGGCTTCGCCTTAACGGGCAGGGGCGGAGCTCCCCTCGGCCCTCGGTGCCTGAGGCGAGTCGTGGCGAAGCTGCCGGCCGGGAGAGTCCAGGTGAGGAGAAGGCGCTGGGCGCAGGGCGCGCGGGTCTGGGTCGGTTGCTGAGGGGTTGAGAGTCCGCGAGGGGGGCAGCTCGTCGCCGCCGCCGCCGCCTTGCCTCTGTATGAGGATTAGGCGCAGCCGTCTTGCGTGGCTCTTTCTCGAGCACAAGGGGAGCGCGCCGTGTGGGGAAAGAGTTTAGGCAAGTTCCTGGCACCGGGTGAGTCACGCTTTGGACCCGGCAGCGCGGCCTCTTCTTGCCCGCGAGGACAGGCTGGCCTGGGGCGGGAGGGAGCAGCAGGTTCTTCCAAGAGCCGCGGGGAAGAGACCGAGCGGGTTCCTCTCGCCTCCGCCGCGTGCTTCGCCGTTGCCTTTCCTGGCGCCTTTGAGGGGGGCAGATCAGCAGGTGGAGAAAGGGAAAGGGAGCTTCCGCTGCAGTCGTTTCTGAGGAGCCCTGACAGACAGACAGACAGACAGACAGACGCCAACTGGGCATCCCTCTATAGAGGTGTCTTGTTTAGGCAGGTTGCTGTCAGTCTTGAATGTGTACAGAGCTGTTTCCCTTTTTTCAGCAGCCTGCCTTGACGGACACTTTTCCGAAATGGGCTTCAGAGGCCCTTTATGAAGTTGACCTGAGTGGATTTAGAAACACGCAGGCAGTGGCGTAGCGTGGGGGGTGCAGGGGGGGCCGGCGGCACCAGGTGCAACATCTGGGGGTTAGGGTTAGGGGGCGCAAACCCACGGGTTAGGGGGCGCAAATTACTTGCCTTGCCCCGGGTGCTGACAACCCACGCTACGCCACTGCACGCAGGATCCAAACAGGTTAGAAACCTAATCTGGTTTCTCACTGGGACCTGGTAATATCCTCTTGAGTTCTCTACCACGAGCAAACTATGGTTTTTACCCCTTTGAGGGTTTTTCAGACTTTTTACTAAAGTGGGCAAAAGGACATCAGACAAGATACCTCCTTTTCAAAGAAGCACCTTCTATAGAATCAAGGGATTGCGTTTAACAAGCTGCTAGTCCCTATGATTTTCAGAGAGAGGGAAAGCACCAAAAATCTGTTTTTTAAATTCCACTCCGTTGGCAACAACCCATCTCCAAATGGCATATTTGATTCTCCTAGACTTATGAATGCTAACTGATCTCCCCCAATGCAAGGCCTGTCTTTGGAAATGGCAGTATTTGGTATATGATGTGTAACTTATTTCTGTCCATACCATACCTATTCCAAATGCAGCTGACTCCATAGGTTTGGTCCAGTAATTTGGGGAGGGAGGCAGCTTCACAAAGTTAAAAACATAGGATGGTATTCAACCAACTCAGAGTAGACTTATTGAAATTAATGCACAAGACCAAGGTCCATTAATTTCCATGGGTCTACTCCAAGTTAAAATCACTTGAATACCTGGAAACTTATTGCCTTCCAGATGTTGTTGAATCACAACTCCCATCAGTCCCGGCAAGAATGGCCAATGGCCTGGGATGTTGGGAGTTGTACCTCAGCAACATCTGGAGGGCCAAAGGTTTAGCACATCTGATGCAATTCACAACTTAACCTAACTTCATTGATTTCAGTGGGTCTGTTCTGAGTATGACAACTTGGTAGGTGTGGGCAATTTAAATCCACCCTTCCCCAAACAAGAACCGAGTGATGGCTAGCATGTTGTCTTTGCTCGGAACTATTAAGTGATTCATGGGTGATGCATTGGCAATACATTTAAAGTTCATAAGTGATTGAAAATCCAAGCATGCCATTACATTCTCTCTGGTCCAGGTGTTAAGTGTTTTCAGTTATATATATCCAGTGAGCCTTAGCTTCTTTTGTTCCTTCGTGTCTCTCACAGAGTTAAAGTTCTTGTTTGCTATTTTGGTGCAATGTGTAAATGGGACATTGTTGACTTTGCTGCATATTTTCTGGGTGATGGTAACTATGAGGTGCTGAGTGAACTTTCCCTGTTAACTTACTCTTGCCTTGCTTTTGACCACTCCTACACCTGGAGGGGAACCAGTTGAACTATGGCTTGCCTTTCTCTTGAATGTGGCCTGCATAGATTGTGAATGTGGCCAACATTGTGTGTTGGACATTCTGAAGTTCTAGTTGCTAAATCAATGATTATGAGAAGCAGAATGATTTTTATTGGATTTCTCATTTGTCCTTGATCATAAGGTTCCAGGTTATAACAGTATTTTTTTAAAAATCTGCTAAAACAATTTGCAATCAGGATATATATTTGGAGTGACAAAGGCCATGGTAAAAAGGTGAAAGTTGAAAGTAGTATGGGGGTTTATTGTGAGTTGCATTCCTGTAATGAATGTTCTTACTTCCAATTCTAAGATTCGATTATCCAGAATTGAAGTGCAAGCTCTAAGTTTTCAGTGGTTTATTGCTCTTCACTTTTATGTCGCAAGTGACCTGCTAATAATGTTAATAAAGGCTTAAAAATTAAAAACAAACTAGTGACTCACTTGATAGTGATATTCATTTTAATAATAGTAATTGAAACTGTGTATGGGGGGGTGGTCCTAGTTTGCTTTTAAGCATCACCTTTCTAAAAGAAGAATGTCTGCTTCTGGCTTATTTAGCATAGAGCACTGCGTGTGTTTTGTGGAATGCTGGCTATCTCTTTCCAGGCATTAATAAATCAACTGCTGACGGAATAAACAACAGAAAAAGCTAAATTAAGGTCCAAGGCTAAGTGCATGGCTATAATTTCTTGTAACTCCTTTGTAAAGTTTGCAGTTGGATTGTGTTTATCCAGCCTGGGTTGTGGTTTGTCTGCACGTGTTGGATGTAAGGAGGAATGCCAACTTAGGATGGGTTAGGTCCTCACATGACTCTGTGCCAGGTAATGTGGCTGTATTATTCAGCCTGGGCACGCTGGATTCTGTGTGCAGAGGTGCCACTTACATGTGATAGTCAACCATTGTAGATAAGCTGGGTGAGGTTTAGGCAATGTGTGTGGAAGGGAGCTGAGTCTAGTGGCTGCAATCTTGATGCAGTGCTGCACATTCCGTACATAAACATTTATTAATTTGGGGGAAAGGATTTGGTGCTTCCAAACTATTAACCCAAGAGCGCTGTTCTGAAAGTCAGTGATCAATACAGCATAGATATGGATTGTGGCTAACATCTCCTGTTAGCTGCTTCCCAAACCAGCAGTTGGAACATGGTGGATGCAGAGTAAATGTGAGTATTCTAGAACTTTTTTTTTTAATATAAAAAATCATGTTTGAAATTGTTGTGTCAGAATTTAAACTTCAAGAGTCAATGCTGAATTTGTAGGTTCTAGGCCTTAAGAACTGACACACACACACACACACACACACACACACACACACAGACGTAGAGCTGCATTTGGAAGAGCACTGTGTGTGTTTCATGGGTGCCAACTCCCTGGGGCCCTGGGTGCTCAAGCACCCACAAAATTCCCTATGAAGGGGCTAGGCACCCACAAGTCTGGATGCAAGGGCCATGCATGTTGCATGGCACCCATGATCCTGGGCATCCACAGTCGCAGGGCCAAGGTGCCACACCTGGTGTGTGTGTGTAAGCTGAAGCAAAAGTGGCAACTTTTCAGCACCTGTTGAATACCTGCGTTGAAAAACATACTACCTTTTTGCAAAAGGAAGGCTGAGTGGAGTTAACCATGAGCAAGCTGAGGACAAAATACTAACGGTGGCTTTTCACTTGACATTTTGTACTAAGCGTCAGGGAACATGGATATCAGGCCACTTGTAAAGGGCATTTGTACGTTTCATTTATTTACAACTAAATACTACTGCACTGCAGTTTGAGTTCAGGTGGCTTACAATCACCTAACATCCCAGTAACACAGCACAGTAAGCAAAACCTCATTATCCAAGGTTGACTGATTTTAGCTTTAATCCTGCTTTCTGCCATTTTTTATTAGGAACTGCAAGTCTTATAATTTCATCACTCTCTTAAAAACTGGTGCCACATTGGTTGCCTTCCAACCCTCCCATGAGGATTTTGAGTTTAAAGACATTTTACATTTTTAGCATTAGATGACCAACTGCTTCACATTTTTATGTTATTTACGAACTCCTGATGCTATCCAGACCAAGGGTTGGCTTTTAATGTGGTGTTTAGCCCTAGAATTTTAATCTTATTTTTATCCAACATCCTTTGCAGAGAAATCAGATGCAAATATTCTGTTTCTCTCCAAAGTCCTTTTCGAAGTTGTTTTTCTAATGGTCTGACACTCCCAGGCTCGCTCACTGCTTGTGATTTTTAAGAAATTTGTATTCCCCACCCCCTTCGTGCCCCTAACAATATGCTCAAATATCTTCTCATGTGCCTCACGGGTAACTTGTGTTTGTTTTAGGAGAGCTTATTTTCTCTTTTTTTGTCCTCTTTATTTAGATTAGACTTGCACTTTTTAAAGAAAAGAGTCTTGGCTTTTGCAGCTCTATTGACGTGCATTACTAACCACACATCCTGTTGGGTTTCTTTCTTAATCCATGGTGTGCACTCCAGACGAGCTTCTGTTGTTGTGGTTTTAAATAACTTCCAATACTCCTGAATACTTTCCCTTTCAACGTCCTTATAATGCATCTCCACCATTTGGAGGAATTTTCCTCTCTTGAAATTAAACGTGACCCTGTTGAACCTGGTTGGTGGCTTCCCACTTCCATTTAAGTTGATTTGATAGCACTGTAGTTACTGTTCCTCGCTAGTTTGGCAGCATCTTTGTCTTGTACCAGATCCGAAGTATCTCCAAGAATGAAGGACCTCTCAATACCAGCTGTGTAGAACAGGGGTCAGCAAACATTTTCAGCAGGGGGCCGGTCCACTGTCCCTCAGACCTTGTGGGGGCCCAGACTATATTTTGAAAAAAATAATAATGAACGAATTCCTATGACCCGCAAATAACCCAGAGATGCATTTTAAATAAAAGGACACATTCTATTCATGTAAAAACACGCTGATTTCCAGACTGTCCGCGGGCCAGATTTAGAAGGCGATTGGGCCGAATCCAACCCCCTGGCCTTAGTTTGCCTACCCATGGTATAGAATGAAACTTGACAGGAAATCTAATTTTGTTGATTCTGGCCAACAAGAAAACAATGCTAGCAGAATTTATTCTTATTATACACGTCCAAGGAGACTAGTAAGTATCCATATTTTCCTGGATAACAGTCCTGGATTTACAGAAGCCATACCGGTTTCTGATTTGATCCTGAAATGTCCTTTACCTTAGGACGTCCCTATTTCCATCGGAGAAATGTTGGAGGATATAGGACATGCCCAGGGCTTTTATAGCCAGAACTCACCAGAACTGAGTTCTGGCACTTCTCAGGTGGGCACCATGGCCGTTCTAAGAGAACAAGGGGGGTGTTCGTGGTGAGTTCCAGCACCACTTTTTCTAGAAAAATAGCACTGGATGTTCCTATTTTCATTGGAGAAATGTTGGCGGGGATGTATCTGTTTACATCAGAGAAATGTTGGAGGGTATGGGATCGTGAAGGCCAGACTGCCCAAAGTATATACAGCATGTTTAGCAGTGATCACTACTTTCCCCCAGAAAAACCAATGACGTGAAATCTCCCATACAGCACATTTGCAGCTCTTGTGAATGTGGAATATTGGGTAGGAGCTAATGCAGGGAAGTGTCATGATCAGCTGTGGAATGTTGTTTGTGGCAGTAATTCTTACAAGGTAGTGTTTTTCAACCTGGTGCCCTCCAGATGTGTTGGATCACAACTCACACCAGCCCCGGTCTTTGGCTGCGCTGACTGGGGCTGATGCGAGTTTGTATCTCAATGCATCTGGTCACCAGCTTGGGTAAATCTGCTGTAGTGTATGTGGTCAGGTTCCTGTGTACCTAAACCACTCAGCAAAGAGCTAAGAAATTTCCAGTGTTTCTGTAAATGGGGTTTCAATAGTCTGTTTTCTTGCTGAAAATGATTGTGGCAATGGTTGAGCTGTTGATGCAGCCTGGAAATTACTAATATCTCTCAATTTGTGAATGCATATAGATTGGTATGGCAGAAGCCAAGCTTGACATGAACTTTCAAATAGCCGTTTGCATGGTGGGAAGTATCACTTTTTAAAAATCCTTTCAACCCTCTGATGTAAATTAGACTGAGAGATGGTAACTGGCCTAAGGACACACAAAGGGTCCAGGATCTGAAACCAAATTCATTTCATACACCAGGTGATCAAAAAGGGCTCTTTACGAAATGTTTCTTCTTTTACACCATTGATGGCTGGTAGGTAAGTGTGGCTGCGCTAGTAATTTTTGTGGACTTCAAGTTTATTTGACTTTCTTCTAAATGCACTAGTCCTAGCATCGGATATGTCATCCTTCCCCCTTTATACAGATTGTGAACAATTTGGCTGTAGCAGAGAATTTTAGAAAGCTATTGCAGACCCGAATATCTTTCCTTTCCTTTTCCAGCAGAAGATGATATCTGCGTTGCAGCTCTTATGCTGGATCTGTCTGGCTTATTCTTCATCCAGTATTTGTAAGTCAAATTTATGTTTCTTATTTGTTTGTTTGTTTGCTTGCTTTAGCTACACCACGGTTGATGTAATCATACTCCCATCTAGTTTCTCCACAAAGTTACACAAATATAAGTGCCGCTTCCATGAGGGGCTGGTTTGTTTGCGTTATTTTGCAGGTGCATAGCTCTTACTTTATTTCTCCCTGCTTGCTTAATTACTCTGAGAATGCACGAACTTGAAAAGCACAGGTGAAAACCAGTGCATATGAGGGAAAATGAAGGCTGTGTCTGTGGTCTGTAGCACTTCACTTGTGTGTATATGCATCACTAGTTAACCTATAGTCAAGTGATGAACATCCATCACAGTTTTCTATCTCTCCTTCCACCCGCCATGATGTATAAGCCAACTGGGGTTGCAGTTTCTCAAAATGCAGCACTTTTCCCAGCAAAAATGGGAAGAGCTGTTCTTAAACCCATTTATTTTTCAAAAAACCTTTTAATTTTATGTTTTATATATACTGTCATACTGGCTGTTGCCTGTATATACTTTGATACTGTAGTGCCTCTTACTTTGCTCAATGAATGCAATATTCAGAGGTGAACTTCTCATGAACCCTTCTAGAAAATCTCAAGCAAAATTCCTCTCATCTCAAAACTCTTAAAGAAGCAGCAGATGTGCCAACACTCAAGATTACATTAAATTGCTGTATTTTACATCACCAGCGATTATATTTTGTTTGATAACGAATGGGGTGCGGAATTGGCTTCCTGGGCTCTTCTTTGTGTTTCTGTTAAGAAGCTGAATTGCATTCTCAATTAAATGTTGCCGGTTTTGCATTAAGAATGCACCAGACGTGTATTGCATAGTGTTATGCTTGCATTTCTAAAATTCTGAGAGCTGCGTCGCAAAAGCTGTGATTTGCAGATACTCATATATGCGCCCCCTCTCCTGGCTCAGTAAACTTGAGTTCTCCACACGCCCCCCCCCATGCCAATTCCACATTAGGGCCCTGTGGCATTCTCTGTGCCTACAATCCTAATCCTACTTACTTTGGAGTAAACCTTGCTTCTGAGTAGACGTGGTTAGGATTTGGCTGTTTGGGAATGAAACAGGGTCAAATAACAATCCTGCCCTTGCAAGGCTTATCTGTTGCTTGCAGTCTTCCCATGTTCCAGGCTAGAGGAAAGGAGCCTTTCTCAAAAGCCTCCAGTCACATTTTCCAGCTGTAGCAGTTGCCAGATAAATAGAAGGAGACAGTTTTCCACCCTGGGTTTGGAGTGGGGAATACAGGGGAAGATGCAGGTAACCTGACAATGCACCACCTCAGATTCAATTGGAGCCGGAGAATGATTTGGGGCACGGAAGTGCTGTTTCATAATGCATCCAAGCATTCATGGGACAAGTTCATACTACTAGTTGGACGAGTTCGTGCTAGCTAGATAGTAAGTTTGGGCAGCGTTGCTAATTGCATGGCGCAAGGAAGAAAGGCAAAGCTGGCGCAGATGAGGCTAGGTGCACAGTGGAATGATGGGGAGCTGTGTTGTGAATTTTCAGGCTTACTGCAAGTGTATCTGTTTGCACAAGCGAAGAACATCATTTGTCACAGTGCTAAGCACACATTATATGCAATTTATTCATTAGGTGTACGCTTAGCGACCAATGTGCGTGCAGGGGAGCCTGGGGTCATCTGCTGTCCGCTGCTGTCTTCCAAACAATACAATTACTCTGTGACTTGGCACATAAACGGTAGTGATATACCCATAACTACGGATAACTACTCCAGGATCCATCAACGAGGAGACAGGCTTTGGTTTAGCCCTGCAATGATAGAAGACTCCGGATTTTATGAGTGTCGCATTCAGTAAGTTTCTGCAAAGTTCATGTTTTTTTTCCTCAATTGAAAGTAGCTGTTAGGTTCTATAGTTCTGACTTGAGTGAGTTCAGCAACAATAGGGAAACATAAATTTAGAATTTTGCCCGTTTTGTCTTAACAATTTTGGGGGGGCTTCAGTTGTGTAATGTTGAAGTGAGAAGCAATCTGCAGGCTGTGTATAAACCCTGCTGAGACTTCTTTGAAATAAAACATGCATTGGAGTCAACTACATTTCCCCCCCTATGTGTTTAGTAAAATTGATACAGGAGGTAAGTTTTATTTCTCTCCAGTCACTGTAGTTTCCTTAAAGCTTGATGCACACCGTTTGGAGATAACAGGGAACTGTTGCTGAATGCAATCCATGCTCTTTGCTCAGAAGGTAATAATAATAATAATAAAAATTTATTTGTACCCTGCCCGCCCTGGCTGGAGTCGGGCTCAGGGCAGCTACCATCATAAAACTAACACAGTATACAAAGAACATAAAAACAGGCAATCAATTAATTAAAATACATCGTAAAATTAGTTCAAAGGAAATTAAAATCTGGACAGATGGGAGTCCATGGGTAAAATTAAGAGTGGTTAATATTCTCCAGGGCCAACTGTTACTACTGGTCTTATAAAGGACCTGTGAGCGGGCTAGGAGGCCTCTTTAATGCTTGTTCTTATACAAAAAGAAAAGAATCAGACTGAACCCCAATCAAAGGCCTGGCAAAACAGCTCCGTCTTGCAGGCCCTGCAGAAAGATGCATGATGCAGAGGGATGGGAGAAGGGATTAGCAGGCAGCCATCATGTTTGTATGTGGCTTCAGCCATGATTTGTGAAGTTGGCCATCTGAACATGACCTCAGCCTAATAACCTAACAACCTATAGTTTTCAGGCTATAAAATACAATTCTTGGAAAAAAGAGCAAGATGCAAAAGTAAGTATCTCTGTAAGTGGTGCACAGTGGGGCGACTTCTTTCTGTGCACCCCAAATTCTGCCCCACAGGGTCCACAATGGGAAGCTCTGTTGCACAAGTGGAGGTTTGTAGTGCATGTGAAATGGCAGCATTGGCTACAATCCAATATAAACAAAAGGATAATTTTTGTTTCCCCCCAGTAATTTTTTTAGAACTGTTACATCATGTTATTCCAGCTAATTCTGGCATTTTATGAACACCATGAAACCAAACCTCCTGGCCACAATGTTGCCTCTTAAGCCATCCCTTACACATTTTTATATTCTGTCCTTCATTTATTTTCTTCTTCTACTTCCTGGAACAACAAACTAACAATAAACAGCCAGACACTTCTAGAGTATTATTATTTTGAGTTGGTTCTTGTCTGCTGAATTGTGATCCAATTCCACATCTTACTATTCTAAAAAGTGCACCCAGATCTGGTTATTCTCATGATGTTTTTCTAATCATTAAATGCTAATATAATGTCAGTATCCTGTGGGTATCTCTTAATAATTAATAGATGTACTGATAATCCCTTTTTTTCATAACAGAAATTCAACAAGAGATAGGAAGGAGCTCCGTGTTTTCAAGAACGATGATGGTTTATGCTTTAATAGAAATTACGTTTATCCACAAAGAATACATTTGCATAATACTGGAAAGCTAAAGTGTCCTGACCTCCAGAATTTTGAAAGTGAAAGGACTCCACTTCAGTGGTCCAAGGTTGGTGTCTTTCTGTGTGATAACAGCCTTTTGAATGTTTTATCTTATTGGCGGTATCTTTTTTTCCTAAATCAGAGGTGGGGAACCACATTCAGGTGGTGGGCCATATTTGGTTGTGGAGAACCTTCTGTGGGTCTTGCATGAAACATTACAATTTAAAAGACACAGCACAAAAACTAGGAGGAGGAAGGCAGCAAACTAAAGCACTAGATATAGGCCATCAAGTTCCAACAACAACCAGCTGAAATAGGAATAGTTTATTTAAGGCAGGGGTTGGGGAAGCTTTGACTCCTTAGGTGTTGGTGAATTGCTGCTCCCATCATCCCTGGCTATTGCTTATGTTTGCTGGGGTTGATGTGAGTTTGTAGTGTAACAACATCTGGAGGGCCAAAGGTTCCTCGTACCCGGTTTAAGGAAAAGATGAGCCAAACATTGCTGATGTCTCAGTAGGGCCAGTGGGATAGTCCTGCTTCCCTTCTCTCCCTCTGCTGGTGAGAGATGGCATGGTTGTTGCTGGATGAGCAATTCATACTGTTTTCTGATACAAACTTCAAAATATGGTACATGTGGCTTTTGGCTAGTAAGACGCCTATTTCCTGTTACGATATTGAATCAATGCAGCCGCGAGCTGCTGGTAGCTTGAAAACAAAACATAATGGGAATGTTGGGACTGTTCCGTGGGAAACAGGGGGACAGTCAATTCACAGTGCAGAGGGCACCGGAATTACCTCAGAGTGTAATATGAGCTGTACAGGAAGTACAGGAGGAGTTTGTCTCTCAACTGCTGAAGCTTGAAGAGAGCAGTCATGATTTCTGTAATGCTGCAAAGACAGAAATAAAGGCATGTAAATACGTTTCTGTCTATCTCTTTACCCTGCCTGGGGGGGCAGGAAAGAGGGGGTGTGTTCTTCTCACTCTGAGAAGGATCGCCTATCGCGACCTCTGCCTGGATCCTGCTGGGGAATGCAGACAGGGAGGCCAACAGGAGATCAAGCCGGGTGCCTGGAGAGTGGCCAGTTTCTCCTGATAAAGGCTTGATTCCCAACATTCCCCCCCCCCAAGTAGTTTTAAAATATGAACAAAAATACATGGAGCATCTCATACATGAATATAAATATATGAACAAAGCAAACTATGCTAAGACAAGCAAAAGTAACTGCTAAGAAGATGCAGCTGGGAACACGTAAATTGTTCCAATTTTTACTCTAAAAGGAAGGAAGGATGTCCACCCACCTGACATCTTAAGAAACTGTGTGTGAGAGAGATAACTGTAATCCAGTGCATACACACTTGAGAACAAACTTTTTTGAAATCTTTTAAGTATCAGATGCTAAGAATAGTTTGTTCCCACCTTTTTTTTAAAATAAAAAAATTATGAAAATATCTAAGTGGTTCACAAGAAATACTAAAATGATCCATTAAAACAGTTAACAGTGATTTTAATTATTTTAAATGGTTTTAATAGTAAAAGAGATTAAAAGAAGACAGCAGTGAAAAAGATAAAGACAGTCAACATCTACACGTCAACATTTTTCACTAGCCATTTGTGCTGTAAAAAAAGAAATAATGTTATTTCTTTTAACATTTCCCCATTAACATGGAGTTGATTTCAGAGCCTATGTCCCGCTCCCATTGTTCTTTGATTGTGTCAAGGGGGTTTGTGGGATTTTGGAGCAGTATTTTGTATATTGTGGATACCATCCCTTTACCGTGTCCCTCTGCTGTCAGAAGCTTTTCGAAGGAGGTCAAGGGCCTTGTAGCTGCTGATTTTACTGCTGGATTGTTTAAGAAAAGTACAGATCTAGAAGGGGCTGTTGTTGTTGTTTAGTCATTTAGTTGTGTCCGACTCTTTGTGACCCCATGGACCAGAGCATGCCAGGCACTTCTGTCTTCCACTGCCTCCCACAGTTTGTTCAGACTCATGTTTGTAGCTTCGAGAACACTGTCCAACCATCTGGTCCTCTGTCGTCCCTTTCTCCTTGTACCCCTCAGTCTTTCCCAACATCAGGGTCTTTTCCAGGGAGTCGTCTCTTCTCATGAGGTGGCCAAAGTATTGGAGCCTCAGTTTCATGATCTGTCCTTCCAGTGAGGACTCAGGGCTGATTTCCTTCAGAATGGATAGGTTTGATCTTCTTGCAGTCCATGGGACTCTCAAGAGTCTCCTCCAGCACCATAATTCAAAAGCATCAATTCTTCAGCGATCAGCCTTCTTTATGGTCCAGCTCTCACTTCCATACATCACTACTGGGAAAACCATAGCTTTAACTACTTGCCTTTGTCGGCAAGGTGATGTCTCTGTTTTTTAAGATGCTGTCTAGGTTTGTCATTGCTTTTCTCCCAAGAAGCAGGCGTGAATGATAATAATACCTTGCTAATAATACCTTTTGTGCATGGAGATAAATCCTTATTTGCAACTCTCCGTTCCCTCCCAACAGTTGTCCTTAGCTTTGTGAGTCTACATTCTGTGGATTACATTTCTCTGCTTTTTATTGTGCCAGTCTGTGTTTGGGTTCTGTAAATGAACTAAGTTTGTTGCCTTCAGCTTTTAATAATATTTTTCTTGCCTCTTTTTATCTTTCAGGCATGCACTCCTGGATTACCTGAAGATGGGAGATTTAGCCATTTTGAGGATTTCCTTGCAATTAAAAATGCAACGGAGAAAGACAAAGGAGTGTATATATGCCAGCTGACATACACCTATCTGGGAAGACAATTGAATGTATCTCGTGCCATTAGTCTAACTCTTTTTGGTAAGTTTGTGTAAGAGGGAAGCAGGGAAAGACCACTTCCCAGCCTGCTCTGGCTAGACTTTCCCTCCCCACTCCTACCAGTTCAGTTGCGGCTGGTCCATTAGAGCAAATGGGGCACTGTCCCACTAATTCAGCCTTCATTCCCTTAAGACCACCTGCCTTCCTTCTTCCTTGCATCCAGACCACATCCTCCGCTTCCTCCTCCTTAATCTCAGGGTTGACATTTCTTAGCAGGGGAGGATGGGGACAAACAGAATTTGTTGGCATTGCCTGTCATTGGCTTGTGGTTTTACCTACTGTTGGCCTTCGTCCCTTCTGCTCCCTCAGTCCCAATGGGAGCTAGCTGCCATTGTACAAGTCCACATATCAGCAAATAAGAAAACTATTCCTTTTTGCCAGCTGCCCTGTGTCAAGAACCCTGATGACATCTTACATGCAGATATTTGTGGGGCTTTTAAAATGTAGTTTAGTTTTATTTGTAAAATGCTTTGGAAGAGTTTATATCCTGAAAGATGGGGTATAAAGAATATATATATTTGCTTCTTGATACTTTATTGGTTAGGTCTGCCACATCTCAGAGTTTTCCTGAAAATACTATTGGTAAGCTACAGAATGTAGGTTATCTAATAATACCACAAATGCATCATAAATTCATTGTTAAAACAAACGTGATTTGTTCCAGAACAGCACTGGGCGACATCATATTTTTGTTTTTGTATTCTTTTGTCCTTTTACTCCCATGTTGCTTCTGGATCTGCTGAACACTTAAAGTGGTATTGACTCTGGCCACTTTTGGAGTTAATGTTCAGTTAAGCGTATCTATGTTAGGTTTCAAAAGTCCGTCTTTTCTAGAGAGGAGTCTTGAATCCTAACGAAAAGTATTGTGACATAAATGTGCAGAACATTTGCATCAAGATAGTCTGATTTTGTTCATAGTCTGATTAATAGCATTAATAGCATTTGTGATGTACTTGCATGTAATGTCCGGTCAAGATACAAATATTTTGGATTGTAGCCAGCAATTACACAAGTGAAGGCAGCTTGCACCAATCAGTCTCCCACCCCCTGCAGTTCCTTGAAATATCCTCTTCAGAGGGTTGTCTGGGAAGGCTTTTCAGGAGGTGAAGGGGAAGATTGGTTGTGCAAGCTGCCATCTGTTGGTTCAACCACTAGGTATAAACCTTTGTTTCTAGGCTGCCAATAAATGTTTTACTTGTATCTGGATATGCACCATAAAGCGGCTTTTTCCAATGAGTAGTGAAATAAATGGTTGCTAATGGATGACAGTCCGCAGTAACAAGAAAATAATATCAAGAACTTCCTAGCAGAGCAACGTGTAATAGATTGTGCAACGATGATTTGTTGTTTCTGTTAACACTTCTTTCCATTGTTAGCGCCTCCGAAGAGAATACCGCTGGACATCATTTATCCAAACAATAATTCAGTTGAAGTAGAACTTGGTAAGCAACTACTGCACTTAATATGAAACTATTTTTTCATGGCCCTAAACTACATCCTAACAGTTTCTGTTATTTGCAATTATTCTTTCATGTTTTTAGGGTCCAGTATTGCCGTGACCTGTAATGCCTCGTCGGGTATTTGGGATGAACCATATGTATCCTGGAACCTTGAGGATAACTCTACTCGGGATTTAAAAGCAACACTCACCCAGTCTCTGTAAATACTAACTCAATTTCCTTTGGTCTTTGGAATTAGGACAAGTTGGGGGTTACTTGATGGGACTAGACATCGAAATCATTGTAAGGCGGCATGATATCTAATATGGTGCTTTCCAAATGTTGTGGACAGTGTCGCCCGACCAATTATCAAGGATTAATTTTATAATTATTATTATATTTTTATTTATACTCTGCCTGTTTTCCCCTGAGAGGGAAATACAGGTGGCATACAGGTAAAAATAAGAACAGCTAAAAACATATTTTTAAAAAACAACCATTAAAAACAATTAAGCATTGTTAGAATATATATTCTATTAAAATCAAACAGCTAATTACAATAAAAAAACAGCATGGCACCACAGCTCTTTCATTAAAAGCAGTCAATTCCCAATTCCCTTGTTGGAACAAGGAAGTAGTCACCTGATGGCAGAAGGATAACAAGAAGGGAACCAGTCTAACGTCTCTAGGGAGGGAGTTGCAAAGTCTGGGAGCAGTCACTAAGAAGGCCGTCTTCTGTGTAATTTGGATACTGGGATGATTCATAGTGAAACTGAAGGAACGTGGCTTTTTGCTGAAACCAGGAAATAATTCCCCTCAGCATTTAAGCACAGTTTCTCTATCTTTAATCCTTGTAGCTTTGTTCAAGAAAAGCGTGACACAACATCATACAAATCAGCCCTGTTAAACTTTCATGTTTCTTATTTTTTTCTGCTTTTTTTATGCCACCAGGGATAAGTCACCTAATGGAGAACTTCAGCTAGTGAGAGAAAAGTTTAATATTTCTGTAGTGAAACCTAAACACTACCAAAAATACTTCTGCACTGTATGGTCTATTAGAACTGCTCCAAGAGTTGTATACATCATGCTAAAACCTCCAGGTAAGTTTTTTATGTGTAAGATGGTATCATGCAGCCTCATGTTGTGTGGTTTTCTGTTGTACACACAGCTAGTGCAGCAAGTGAAGGGACAAAGCAGGCATCAGAAACACGCTTGATAACATTTGTTTTAGAATTTTTTTAAAGAAATGCTTCTATTTGGGCAGGCGATATTACGGGAAACAATTGTAGTCATGGGTGTCCACAGGAATTTTTCCGGGGTGGTGGAAGTCAAATGCTGAAAGCAGCCGGGTGGGCTTTGGGAAGTTGGCTGGAAGGCTCCTGGACCCTGTGGGATTATCATGCCACCCCCTCCAAGCTGGGCACAAACTTCCTGGGCTTTGGGAAGGAGGCACCACGCTTTAATACTTTAATACTCTAATTTAGGGATGCGGGTGGTGCTGTGGGTTAAACCACAGAGCCTAGGACTTGTCGATCAGAAGGTTGATGGTTCGAATCCCTGCGATGGGGTGAGCTCCTGTTGCTCGGTCCCTGCTCCTGCCCACCTAGCAGTTCGAAAGCATGTCAAAGTGCAAGTAGATAAATAGGTACCACTCTGGCGGGAAGGTAAATGGTGTTTCCGTGTGCTGCTCTGGTTTGCCAGAAGTGGCTCAGTCATGCTGGCCACATGACCCAGAAGCTGCACGGCGGCTCCCTCGGCCAATAAAGCGAGATGAGTGCCGCAACCCCAGAGTTGGCCACGACTGGACCTAATGGTCAGGGGTCCCTTTACCTTTATTCTTAATTTACCAGGAACATTTTGGGGACTAGCCTTGTCCCCCTAGTCCACTGACCGCACGCCACTGTTACAGTCCTGGTCTCCTCACCTCAAAATTGATATTGTAGAGTTGGAAAAAGTTCAGAAAAGGACAAGCAAAATGATCAAGGGGGTGGAGCCATTCCCCTATGATAGAACATTGCAGCAGCTGGGACTTTTAAGTTTAGGTGAAAATTATGTGGAGAAATTGAATACATTTTCTCATAAGGCGAGAGGCTGGAGACATCCAATGAAGCTGAACATTAGAAGATTCAAGACAGAGAAAAGACAACTATTCACACATAGTTAAACTAAGGGACACGGGTGGCACTGTGGGTTAAACCACTGAGTCTTGGGCTTGCCGGTCGGAAGGTTGGCGGTTCGAATCCCCGTGACGGGGTGAGCTCCCGTTGCTTGCTCCCTGCTCCTGCCAACCTAGCAGTTCGAAAGCACGCCAGTGCAAGTAGATAAATAGGTACCACTCTGGCGTGAAGGTAAACGGCGTTTCCATGTGCTGCTCTAGTTCACCAGAAGCGGCTTAGTCATGCTGGCCACATGACCCGGAAGCTGTACGCCGGCTTCCTCGGCCAGTAAAGTGAGATGAGCGCCGCAACCCCAGAGTCGGCCACGACTGGACCGAACGTTCAGGGGTACGTTTACCTTTACCTAAACTATGGAACCTGCTTCTACAGGAGGCAGTGATGACCACCAAGCAGGATGGCTTAAAAGGAGGATTAGACAAATTCATGGAGAAGAGGACCATCAGGGGTTACTAGCCATGATTGCCATTCTTTGCCTTTACAGTTGGAGTCAACAGTGCTTCTGAATACCAGTTGCTGCAAACACAGAAGGGGAGAGTGCTCTTGGGCTTGACTCCTGCTTGCAAGTTTTCTCACCGGCATCTGGTTGGCCACTGTGAGAACAGGATGCTGGACTGGGTGGGCCATTGGCCTGATCCAGAGTCCTCTTCTTATGTGGGCACAAACTTCTTATGCAATCTGTCACCATGACACTGTGCACCATTGTTTATTTGCCTCGCTTTTTTTAAACTTCTTGTTTTACCTTTGCCAATACAGCTCAGAACTTTCAGGGTTATTTGATTGGAGGTCTTGTTTCCCCGCTCCTTGTTATACTGGCAGCTCTGCTCATCTACAAGTTTTTCAAAGTTGACATTGTGCTTTGGTATCGGGAGTCCTGCCAGGTTCTTCTCGGTAAGGGAGGTAGGTTTGCTGCTGTATTTTCAATAGCTTGATGCCATCTAGTGGTCAATGAGAAATAAAAGGGTTTCTCCTCCCCATCATTTAAAATTTTTGTTGTACAGTGGTACCTCGGGCTACAGACGCTTCAGGTTACAGACTCCGCTAACCCAGAAGTAGTACCTCAGGTTAAGAACTTTGCTTCAGGATGAGAACAGAAATTGCATGGCGGCGGCAGGAGGCCCCATTAGCTAAAGTGGTACCTCAGGTTAAGAACAGTTTCAGGTTAAGAATGGACCTCCAGAACGAATTAAGTTCTTAACCCGAGGTACCACTGTACAGTGTACTTTGGTTCTCAGACTTAATCTGTTCTGGAAGCCCATTCCAAAACCAAAGTGTTCCAAAACCAAGGCGTGCTTTCCCATAAAAAGTAATGCCAAATGAATGATTCGTTCCAGACTTTTAAAAAACAACCCCTAAAACAGCAATTTAACATGAATTTTACTATCTATTGTGACCATTGATCCATAAAATGAAAGCAATAAACGTACTGCAGTCACACAGTCAATCAAGAAATCAGTAACTGAACTGGGTTCCACACAGTCACAAAAACAAAACAAAAAAGCCGCAAAAAACAAAAATGCAAAATAAATAGCAAAAACAGACAGAGCTCATTGTTACACTCAAAATGGAAGTGTGGCACTCAAATTGGAAGCGTAACACTCAAAATGGAGCACGTTTGGCTTCTGAAAATAGTTCACAAACTGGAACACTTACCTCCAGGTTTGCAGTGTTTGGTTTCCAAGTCTTTTGAATACCATGACGTTTGAGAACCAAGGTACCACTGTAACAAGGAGTCAATGCTTACAGGCTTCCATGAGGGATTATGTTTCACTCGCCATTTCTGTCTATGCTTTTTATAAAAAGGAGGGATTGGAATGCTTTGCCTAGTTTCAGCTGAGAGGCCGTGATAGTATAGCGACCCTTATCATACAGCTGTGGTCATCCAGACCTTGTTGGAATGCAGCTCCCGTGACTGACCATTTGCTATACTTACTGTTCAGCAACATCTAGAATCATAGAATCATAGAATCATAGAGTTGGAAGAGACCACAAGGGCCATCGAGTCCAACCCCCTGCCAAGCAGGAAACACCATCAGAGCACTCCTGACATATGGTTGTCAAGCCTCTGCTTAAAGACCTCCAAAGAAGGAGACTCCACCACACTCCTTGGCAGCAAATTCCACTGTCGAACAGCTCTTACTGTCAGGAAGTTCTTCCTAATGTTTAGGTGGAATCTTCTTTCTTGTAGTTTGGATCCATTGCTCCGTGTCCGCTTCTCTGGAGCAGCAGAAAACAACCTTTCTCCCTCCTCTATGTGACATCCTTTTATATATTTGAACATGGCTATCATATCACCCCTTAACCTCCTCTTCTCCAGGCTAAACATGCCCAGCTCCCTTAGCCGTTCCTCATAAGACCATGCATATGTTTAATAAGAAGCAGATACTACTTCTTCTTCTTTTTTTAAGTACCCTGACTCTGGACCTTTGATCTTAAATCTTTTGGGATACTGAGTAATTTTGATTTCATTGGTATTATTTGTCTCTTGGTCCTTTTAACAGCTAATGGTATAAAAAAAGATATGTGAAAATTTCTCAGTCTTGTTGGAAGCCACCCAGAGTAGCTGGGGCAACCCAGTCCAATGGGCAGGGTACAACTAATAAATGTATGTATCTATTTATTGGTTTATTTGATATAGTCAAACACATAGTGGTGGTTCACACACTAAGTCTCCAGCAACAGGAAAGAATGAGATATTGTTTCCTTTAGGAAAACATAGAAAGCACAATGTTTTTAAACTACATTTTCCTTTTTCTAGTTTCAGACGGGAAGCTCTACGATGCGTATGTGTTGTATCCCAAAAATTCAGCGAACTGTGCATATTCATCTGATATCTTTGTCCTGAAAGCATTGCCTGAAGTCTTAGAAAAGCAATGTGGCTATAAGCTCTTTATATGTGGAAGGGACGATCTGCCAGGGCAAGGTATGTATATTAAAGAAGTGTGTTTACGTTTGACAGAGCATTGTTCGGAGACAAACTCCGTGGTAAACTACTTGAAATTATGATTGTATCTCAGCTGCTTGCAGAAGGTCCTTGGCATCTCGATTTAAAAAGATCAGATACGTACAAGCTATTGTCCTGAAGCAAGGTCTGAGGGCATACATTATTCAGCCACCTTGCTGAAGCTAAGCAGGCTTGGTTCTGGTCAGTGCCTGGATGGGAGACCACTCCCATCGCATGCCACTTTATTTACTTCACTTTAAAAGCTGGGGGTGCAATGCTCAACCATGTGTGGGTTAGAGCCCATACTTTGCATGCAGAAGGTCCCAGTTTGCATCTTTGGCAGTTCCATGTAGGCTAAGATTGCTGAAACCCTGGAGAGCTGCTGCCTGCATAGACAAGACTGAACTAATTGGACTAACAGCTTGACTCTGTATACAACAGTTTCATGTGTTGATTTAAATGTGTATGTGGTTTTCCTCCACATTTGTGGTTCTAGATCATCATAATGCCCACCCCAATTCCTTCTCAATAATTGTTTCAGGCCTTTTCCTTCACCCACTTTCTTCCTTTTTCTTGACATTTCATCTTGCTTCTTGGATATTTCGGTGATAATCCCTCTGCCTTCTCTTGCGTCTCCCTGACCTCTACCTTTGGACAGACACTTTCATGTACTGCCTTGAGGACTCCCTTTTGTCTTCCCTTTTAAAAAAAGGGTTCTGTCCCTGACCTCTTGGCTGTGGAATTCCCCTGCCTGAATACCACTTTGTCTTAACCTTCAACAATGTTGTCCACTCTGCTTGTAACACCATCTGGTTATTTTCTTACCTATGCATTTCATACATCATTTCTTCTTCTGCTTTCCCTCGCCTGTGTCAGTTTGAATGGGAAATGCATAGCCTCATCTGAGGGTTACCTGTCAGGTAAGAATTGTCAATATTGCCTGTTCTACCTGCCATAAGGATCAGGGACAAAGAAAATGAGGACTAAGGCTGGGTTTGCATAATTGACTGCTATCATAATACAGTGGTACCTCGGGTTAAGAACTTAATTCGTTCTGGAGGTCCGTTCTTAACCTGAAACTGTTCTTAACCTGAAGCACCACTTTAGCTAATGGGGCCTCCCGCTGCCACCACACGATTTCTGTTCTCATCCTGAGGCAAAGTTCTTAACCCGAGGTAGTATTTCTGGGTTAGCAGAGTCTGTAACCTGAAGTGTCTGTAACCCAAGGTATAATAATAATAAATAATAATAATAATAATAATAATAATAAAAAATTTATTTATACCCCACCCACCTGTCTGGGTTTCCCCAGCCACTCTGGATGGCTTCCAACCAAATATTAAAATACAGTAGTCTGTCAAACGTTAAAAGCTTCCCTAAACAGGGCTGCCTTCAGATGTCTTTTCCTGAATTAGATGTTTCTTCATGAAAACTAAACAGTCTTAATGTTTAATTTATAAACAAATTTAGTTGTACGTATGATTCCTTAGTTAACCTATATTGATGCTTCCTTTACATGCAGCGGTGGTCAGCATTGCTGACGAAACTCTGAAGCAATGCAGAAGAGTGATCATCGTGTTGGTACCGGATTCATCCCGCTTCAGCATGCAGAGACTGACCTCCGAGCATGAAATTGCGGTGTACAGCGCTCTTATTCGGGATGGAGTTAAAGTGATACTGATTGAGCTGGATAAAATCAAAGACTACGACAACATGCCAGAATCATTAAAATACCTTAAACAAAAACATGGCGTGCTCAGGTGGGAAGAAGGCCTTTCGGAGAAATCTCAAAGGGCATCAACAAAGTTTTGGAAAAATGTACGGTACCAAATGCCAGCCAGCCGAAGACCACCTTCCTCCGAGTTTCATTTGCTGCCAGTACTTTTTAACTCTCCTTGGATACCAGAAGGGTTGTAACAAGACCACATATGCACTGTTCTCTTGAACATGTTCAAACAGTGGGTGCAAGGCATAGTTCCAGGTGTGCTGCATGAATAACCCCAGAAAGCGGCTGTTGAGAGTTGCGGTCCCTAGGAATGTCTACTTTTGATCACTTGGGAAGAGCCTTCTCTACCAGGATGCGATCAGCCATGGACCTAGGAAGCTTCTGGTTTGGTTCAGTGAGTTCCTTGGACAAATGGCAAAATGTGAATGCTTGAGCCAAAAATTGTTTTGCAGAGGAAGGAAGCGAATGTGAAGGAAACAGTTTCCCCCTCCCATGTGCAGACTTTATACGTAGTCAGGTTTTAACCTGAAACATAAGGGCTCACTTGGAACAGCTTAAATAGCTGCTTCATTTGTCCAATACTTGTTCGTTCCCCTTTTAAAGGATAATTCCATATACTATGCATATTATTATGGTATCTCCCAAGGAGAAAAGCAGTAAGAGAGCACCATATTTTTGGGGTGGATTGTCTTACCAGTAAGCAGATGCAAAAGCAAGAGTGTGAATTCTCTGTGATTTATTCACATTTTAATTAAATTGTAATGCCATAGTCAATGCAGAAAAAAAAAATCACATGAGTGACTTTAAGTGAAGTTATTAGATGGTAATTATTTTTTACACTTCTGAAAAGATTATTTGCATGATGTTTCAAAATGGCCAAATATTTGCAGACTCATGAGCACTTTATCTGTATCTCTATGATATGTAATGTTTCACATTATTTTTAGAGGCTGCATTCTCTAGCGTGGAAGCCCAGATTTGACGTTTTAAATCTCAACCAAATATGTAAGACTAGAAAGTGGCATCATCTTTTTTTGTACAACTGTGTGATTATTTCTATAGGTGAAATAATTTTGTTGCAATTATGTAATAATTCATTTAACTTGCACAATACACTGATTCCTATGAAATTTTTATATCTGCCTCTATTGTGGATGGTTTTGCGAAACCCACATCTGAAGCATTGTTGAGGAAGAAGGCACCTGAGCAGCTATATCAATTAGAAAACCAGAGAGGATGTTTTAGAGCTAATTGTCTAATTAACAAGATGCCATTCACCCAAGAGTTCTTTTAAAACCCGAAATGAGATATAGCCAACAAAAAAAGTGCAGTTGGTTGCAGAACTCTAGCTACTTTGCAATCTTCCAGGAAAGAGATAAGGTAACATCAATTTTAAGCAATCAATTAGACCTGTCAAAAACTGACCGTTGTCCCACAGCCATGATCATTAATGCCTTGTTGACATCAAGGCTGGGCAACTCTTAACACACATTCTGTGGATTTGCCTTTGAAAATACTTTAGAAACTTGTCTGAAATGTGGCAGTTAAAGTTTTAACTTCTTGTTGTTGCTAGGTTTTGTTTTTTTTAAAAGTATACGGCTATTTATTTATTTAGAGTATATTTATTCTACCTTTTGGCTTTAAAAGACCCCATGATGCCTTTAAAAAAAAAAATCACATATACTATATTTGCCAACACACCCAATAAGACTCGAGACAAGTTAGATGGGTATCAGGTTATATTTATTAAAATATAACAACTAGAGAATATTCAGAATGATTCAACCAAATTAATCAAAACCAATGATGTTCAGGCAGTGAGGTGGGTTGCTGAAGGTATTTCAGCTTTCCCATCTTCTGAGCCAGCTACCAGGCGCATGCTGTGATCACCCAGCAAGGCCTGAGGGAACTCCTCCCCCTCACTGCATACTCCTTGGGTAAGGTAAAGGTAAAAGGTAAATGACCCCTGGATGGTTAAGTACAGTCAATGGCAACTATGGGTTGCGGCGCTCATCTCGCTTCAGGCCGAGGGAGCCGGCATTTGTCCATAGACAGCTTTCCGGGTCATGTGGGCAGCATGACTAAACCGCTTCTGGAGTAACGCAACACCATGACAGAAGCCAGAGCGCACGGAAACATCATTTACCTTCCCACCACATCAGTACCTATTTATCTACTTGCACTGGCATGCTTTCAAACTGCTAGGTTGGCAGGAGCTGGGAAAGAGCAACGGGAGCTCACCCTGTCACGCAGATTCAAACTGCTGACCTTCCGATCGGCAAGTCCAAGAGACTCCGTGGTTTGGACCACAGCGCCATCTGCGTCCCTTGGGTATATGAACATGACATGCACACTGTGACCCTCTCAGTGTGGTGTGGTGGTTAAGAGCGGTGGACTCGTAATCTGGTGAACCAGGTTCGCTTCCCCACTCCTCCATATGCAGCTGCTGAGTGACCTTGGGCTAGTCACACTTCTCTGAAGTCTCTCAGCCCCACTCACCTCACAGAGTGTTTGTTGTGGGGGAGGAAGGGAAAGGAGAATGTTAGCCACTTTGAGACTCCTTCGGGTAGTGATAAAGCGGGATATCAAATCCAAACCTCCTCCTCCTCCTCCTCCTCCTCCTCCTCTTCTTCTTCTTCTTCTTCTTCTTCTTCTTCTTCTTCTTCTTCTTCTTCTTCTTCTTCTTTTCAGCCAGCGTTCACCCCAATGCGCCTGACAGGCCCACACACTACTCTGCCTTCGATATTAGTCAGCTATGGAGTGGGCTGAAATAGCCTGTTCTCCACTTCTATAGGGCACATCATCCCATGTGGTTGCCCACATGGCCCCTGTGGGAGAGTCCACCTCTCCTCATCTTGTAGGGGAGGAGAGCGTGGCAAATGCATCCCCTCTCCATATTGAGAAGGAATGGAATTTTATCAACCCCACTGGCTTTTCTGCTCATTCTGAGCTTTCAGGGGCTTTAGACCAGGTTACTTGAAAGGGACTTTTAGAGAAGAGCTGTGGCTCAGTGGCAGAGGATCTGCTTTGCATGCAGAAGGTTCTGGGTTCAATTCCTGGCATCTCCCCAAAGAATCCTATATGAAACCCTGGAGAGCTGTTTGCCATTCAGTATGGCTGAACCAGATGCATCAAAGGTAACTGAAGATCTAAGGTAGGTTCCTAAGGACACTTCTCATGTGCTCTTGCCCACTCACTCAGGTTGTTGGGGAGGCTCTGTTCTGTGCCTTATCTCTGGAGGTGGTGTTGCCAGAAACATGGGATGTTCTTCCCTGCTGCAGTTTCAAAACTCTGGAATTTCCTGCCTCAAGAGGTGAACTTAGCTCCTCCCCAAGTGACGTTCAGGCAGCAAGGAAAAATATGTTTGCCTTGGCATGTCTGTGACTTGAATAGCTCCTACATTGTTTTCTTGGTGTCCCCGATTATTGGCAGCAATCCTGGTTTGCTTACATTTAAAATAAAATAAGATGATTGCATGGTTTTTAACCTTCATTGATTACTTCCTTGAGTGCCTTATTATGAAATGAAAAGGCAGCTTAAAGCCTTGCCGCATGGCTTATGTAACAGGAAGTCTTGCCATGTGTTCTGGAGTGCTTTGAAAGCATACGAACAAGCATGAAGTCGGGGCTAATCTGGTAGACATCATCTATTTTGTTTTCCAAAAGCTTTGGGCAAAGTCCTTCCCTTAAAGCTCCTGAATGAATTTAGCAGTCATGTGTTAAGACAAAAAGATTTCCTTATGCATTGGTGACTGATTAAACGAAGCAGAAGGAAGGTGCAAGCAGAATGTGTTGCGATGGCATTTATATTGGGACTTCTGCTTTTAAATTTATTCATAAATGATCTGGAATCAGATGTACAGTGATGATGGCTACATTTGTGGATTACACCATACTACTCAAGATTTTGAAATCTCAGTCTGTGGTCATGAGATAGCAACTGAGTTCAGGAAGTGAAAATTGATTCATACGGTTACCCCCCCCCAAAAAAAACCCACCCCTGATCACATATACTAATGAGCTCTGAAGAACTGGCATTGATTCACGAGGAACTACATCTTGCAATTGTGGACACAACAATGACCACTCCCCACATTAAATGGGGGGTGCCCTTTGTGTGGTCGCGCGCAGCCCCTGGACCCTATGTGGCACCATTAGAACAGGCTTGGCTTCACCTCCCCCCAGGTGGGATACCTGGAGGTCTACCTCAGTCATTGTCCAATCCTGCCTGGGGAAGCATTGCCAAGGTGATCAGGCCAGGTAGGGGGAGGGACCACCTGCCCACACAACAGAGGGAGGATCTTACCTGGGAATCGTCAGTTGGCTCCAGAGCTTCTCCCACCCTACCCACCCTCAGTTAAGACTTCTTTTGCAGGTTAACCTTTTCTCCACAGGTACGCGGGTGCTGCTACGTCAAGGTCACTGTTGAAGGGCCAGAAAGGAATTCTCCTGCATTGGCAGGTTTGCCTTTCCCATAGCAAAACGCCACAACTTTGGCGATATCAGGCCTTGGGCGGAATCCTTTAGTCTATCTTCCCTGAATGGGGGGTCGTGCAGTGGTGACCCACGCCCCCTTCCTCTTTGCGGCGGTGATACCAGGGTTCCCCGTTAAAGGGGTTTTTGAGGGGAGGCTTTGGCCGTACGCCTAGAGGTCGCCATTGCTCTCCCCTGCGACGGTGGCGTAATGGGGACGGGCTCTCTCTGCTTGAACATATGTTCTCCAGAGCCAGCCCATCCCCCCCTACTGGATAACCCTGATGTTCCTCAGATCCCTGGCGGGGGACTGGGAGAGATAAATGCCCAATGCCTGAGCCAAGGTCTACCCACATCTAAAACATAATATACTTGTGGCCAATTTTAATCCCATAGCACATTGTCTTGAGTCGTTATTCCACACGGGGGCCTCCCAGGGTTTGAGGGACTCTGCCTGTCCATGCAATAGAAAGCTGTCTGGAGTATTCTTGCTGGGTGAAGATATATTTCTGAGTTTTGCTTGTTGAGACCATTTTGAACTGTGCCTCAGGAAATTAGCAAGACATGTATAGGCAATTAAAATGGGCACATACCAAGGATGAATGCTGCTAAGATTGTCTGCATGTTTTGAAAGTATCTCTGAATTTCCATACCATGTTCTGGCCTAAGGATATGGTATACACAACTTGCCTCAGAAATTGTTATTTGTAAAACTTTGAAAGACATGGAAAGTTCTGTCGCCATCGCTGTAAATTCCTGTCAGCTTTTCCTTTTGTTTCTGTACTCCAAGGGCACTGAGGGTCTTGCAGCTGGAAGTTTGATTCACCCAACAGAAAGGTTGCTTACTTCTAGGTGTACTTGGGTTTGTGCAGTGCATTGCGCTATGCATACTGGTGGGAATGTAGAAGTCGGGTTGGTTGCTTTGCGCTGAAAATGAATGGGATCCTCAGATATGCAAATCCTAGACTACCTGCCCCATATGCAATGCACCCAGCAGACTCCATAGAACGTTTCCACCTACCCCAAATGTAATGGTGAAGGGTCACTCATTTGGGGTGATTACATATACACCCACTCCCTACAGTGACCAACAAAGGTGTATCCAGGGTCCCTTGCGCCTTTGACCACGAGCTGTATCAGCACTCCTCCCAGTGAAAAAAAATCACTTTACCACAATAGTCACATTAGAATAACTACCGTATTTTTCACTCCATAAGACGCACCTGACCCTAAGATGCTCCTAGTTTTTAGAGGGGGAATGCAAGGGGGGAAAATATTATTTAAAGGGAGTGCTGAGCAGAGCCTGTATGCATCCCTGAGGAGGAAAAAGCCCCCAAGAGCACACACACTCCGCACGGCTCTTGGGGGCTTTTCTGGGAGATGGGGAAAGGGACAGAGCCATGTGCTTTGTCCCTTCCCCCACCTCCCGCAAGAGCCGTGTGCTAAGCCAGAAGCCAGTACAGCAAGCAGGATCGCTGTGCAGCGATCCCTCTTGCTGTCCTGGCTTATGGGATAGCCGTACACAGCCTCTCCCGAGCAGCTGGATGAATGCTCCCCCAAGAGCCGTGCTCCCTTTAAAGAGTGCGCAGAGCATGTGTGCAGCTCTTGGGGGCTTTTCCCCAAGGAGGGAGAAGGGCAGCCCTTCTCCCTCCTCGGGGAAAAGCCCCCAAGTGCTGCACACACGCTCCACACGGTTCTTTAAAGGGAGTGCTGAGCAGAGCCTCCCGCCTGCGTTCGCTCCAGAAGACTCACACACATTCCCCTTTACTTTTTAGGAGGGGAAAAGTGCGTCTTATAGAGCAAAAAATATGGTACATTTTACAGGATCCAAGTATTCAAAGCATCTGGTGTGAGAGTGAGGCAAGGAGGAAGGGTGGAAAAATTCACACACTTTTGTCCTGTGGTGCGAGGAAGGTTCTCCCGCATTTGATCTCACTGCGACAGAAGCGGCACATTGCAACATACATGGTCTGATAGGTGATTTTTGTGCCCCCTGGTTTCACCAACCCCTAGATACACCTCTGGTGACCAACAATATGAATGAGGATGTGGTGATCACTACAGCAGAAGTGATGTGTAGACCAGGTAGCTGGTAACCCCTAAAGGAAGTGCATTAGGGTTTGGTACATGCCATTTTGCAAGTGCAAAGGATGTGGCAATTTCTTAGCCCTTCTCCAGGTACTTGACAGACATTCTTTCCATTCTTGACCTGGTACTTTGACTTCCTCTCACACCGGTTTCATGATGCCATGCTCTTTACCAATCTTGGAGGGTCCTTTTCAATGTAGAGTTGAAGAACTGTTCCAACTAGTTTTGCAGCAAGGGAACCGCTGAGATTTGAGAGAGTTTGACTTCTCTTCTTGTGAATTACCACAGACACACGTGCTTGTGCTCTCCCCCCCCCCGCACTCCCACAATTCAAAGTGAGGTGCTTAAAAATATCATCCTCCTTTCTGAAGCAACCATGATTTGAAACAGAGGTGCAGTTGGGTAATATTAGACTCTGGACTGCATACATGCCATACATTTTAAGCACATTATCCCTCTCAGCTTGTTTGGTCTGTCATACAGATGGCTCTTACTCAATCGGGCCAGAAGAATTTCCTGCGTGAAATTCCATGTTTGTTTCAGATGAGATTATCTTTTCCAACTTGTCTCTGGAGAGAGCTCAGCACACCCACATGACTACAAATGTTGGGAAGGAAGCCACCCCTTTCAGAGTTTTGATTTGTGCTGTTTTGAAGTTGGTGCATAATTGTTTGCTCTGCCCTAACAACTTCCTTGCCTACAACTCTGTAAACTGGTAAAACCCGTTTAAAGGAGAGGAGTGAAGCTCTTGCCACACATCTGCTTGTGGGTTTCCACTTCAATCCGGTAGGATATGGATTAGACTTGCTTCTGTAGCTTTCCTTACGCAGCGAGAAGTGTACACTGGCAAGTTCGGTATACACCAGGCATTCCGTACAATGGAACTACTCCACAGGGTGCTAAATTTCATGGTCTTCACCATCAGCAAATGTGCACACTTCCATAATGCCCAAAGCTGATTTTATAGAGGAGAAGATCAGAATGCAGCAACAGGTTTTTCTCTTCAACAGAGCTTCAAAAAGAGAGATGTGGTATGGCTGTTTTGAGCTCTCATCGGACATAAGGGTGTTTTGAGATATTAATGAGTCTTTTGTATTTCCATTTAAGGAGTACTGTAGACTTTCCAGCCTTTTTATATTGAACTGTTGCCAGAATAGACCCACACTCTATTCTTCCATGAAGGATTACAGTAACAAGGGGCAAGGCAACTTTGGGGTGGAATTTTCTGGAAAGAAGATGTTTGAGACACTACATGAGACACTACAGAGTTTTTGGACCTGAAAGGTGGTTGATTCTCTTCTGTCCCAGGTTTGTGGAATTAACTTTATAAAGGCTAACAATAACTGTCCAATATTTGAGAAAGGTTAATGAGAAAATTCTTTAGTATTTAGAAATGAGCTACTTAATGTGCTGGTATGATCTGCCATTGTATACTATTGTTTTCTTTTTTGAGGAATGTACATTTATTTATTAAAAGTATTTGTATATCATGAAACGTATCAAAGTGGTTTACAACATTAAAAAAGATAAAAGCCATACAATGAAAGCATTAAAAAATGATTTAAAAGCAGAAGAGTTAAAAACAAGCACCATTAAACCATTGTAGGAGATTGCTTGCATAGGTGCTGGTGGAATAAAAAGGTTTTCATCAGGCGTTTTAAAAGTTGGCACAGAAGACACGCACTGAATCTTTATTGGCAGAGTGTCTGGACCGATGACACTAAAGACTCAGTTTCTCGTTGTTGTCAAATGTGACTCACAAACTCAGGGATGGACCAGTGATGATCCTGAAGATGATTTCAGTGATCGTGCTGGGATATGGGAGTTCAGGTGATTCCTGAGATACTATCCTATGAGATAGTAAGAAAATACTTTTAAAGCACTGATAATTTTAGCAGAAGCTAGGAATGGAGGCTAGAAATAATATTTCAGACTGTTAGAAACAACCATCTTTTTTTTAAAAAAAAAGTAAAGTGGGAGACTTGAGCATCTTGGATTTTCACAGCTTAGTTGAAAATGCACTTTTTTTTTTTACAATCTCACTGTTAGATGACTGCATTATTAGAATAACTTCATTTCTAGCTGCCATTGGTCAAATATAAATATTGCTCAGGAGAGGCTCTCCATTCCTTCAGAGAGGCTTTTCGGGATTTTTCTGTAGTATCTTGCCATTGGCTAAAGTTCAAAACTGGAATGTGAAAATCCTTCATGGTCTTCCCCACAATAACGAATAGAAGTAAAGTAAAATAATATAATGCAAAATTTGAGATTGAAACCAGCAACAAATAAATATGACAATGTTTGATCTAAAATGGCAGGTGACAAAAGAGGATCATAGATTATCTTTAATTTAATATTGATGACAGCCAGGGCAAAGTTTCTATACCTGTGGTTAATTCTGCATCGATAGCTCCCAGCAAGAGTCAAATTTTTCCTTTTTGTGATTATAACTGTTAGATTCTAACGTCCTTGTAGAAGAGTAGTTCAAGCAAAACTGGATGAAAGCATTTAATCATAACTATGGAAGAGATAACAGCCTACTAAATCTTCTGTGGGCATTGCTTGGTGCCAAACATACTGTGAGGCAGAGTGTGGCAGCTGCCTCAGGTATCAAATGTTGAAGAGAAAGGTGTGGACAGAGCTCTGTGTGTTATGTGGCACCCTAAATAAGCTTGCTAACCTCAGGTGCAGTGGAGGATGCGGTCCTAGTGCCTTTGCAAATATAAGATTCAGCTGCCAGTCCAGTCAACTTCTGCATGTGGAATGGAGAGGGGGACGCCATCTTGTCTACTGCCCGAGGCAACAAACATCTTGGCCCAGCCCTGACCTTACAAGCAGTGGCTAATGAACTATGGAATCATTAAAATATCCTTCTGTGATTTTACAGCCTTATATTACAGGCTAGAGTCACAGTTACTTTACTATGTGGGCCAGGGAAGTGGGAAATTGCTTTGATTTCTCACTTTTTAGGTGTGTTGTGGTTTATGTGTTGTAGCTGTACCTTTTGCCTTAAGTGTCTGTGTATTTTGGTCACTGAATAATAGATTTGCAACGATCTTATTCCTTACACTTGAGGTTACTTCATATGCTTCATTTTTTAAATGTACCTGCTTAGCCTCTACCTGCTTAGCCTCTATGAGGCCAGTGTGGTGTAGTGGTTAAGAGCGGTAGTCTCGCAATCTGGTGAACCGGTTTCGCGTCTCCGCTCCTCCACATGCAGCTGCTGGGTGACCTTGGGCCAGTCACACTTCTTTGAAGTCTCTCAGCCCCACTCACCTCACAGAGTGTTTGTTGTGGGGGAGGAAGGGAAAGGAGAATATGAGCCGCTTTGAGACTCCTTAAAGGGAATGAAAGGCGGGATATCAAATCCAAACTCTTCTTCTTCTTATCTCAAAATATAATGCATGTTTGCAACTGTGTATATTAATACTGGGATGTGTGTTGTTGAGCTGGGATTGGCTGCAAATGCATGTGTGGAAGTCAATGACTCTCTCACAAGTTCCAGCCACTTTCTTCTGACCCAACCGTGTGGTGATTCTGATAATCGCCTTGGGCTGAGACTCATCTCCTCATAAACATATCCAGCCAGGGAACAGGTGGCATCTCTATATCTAGCAAGGCCTAGATGTGGCCAGGCAATGGTGCAGCAGTCAGGGTTGGACCTACAATGGCCAAGTGAGGCAGACACCTCAGGGGAGGGGGAGGTGCTGGGCGCATGGAGTAGCAAAGAGAGATGTAAAGGCCATGCTAAGCTAGCCTGTTGCCCTCAGGTGAAGTGGAGGAAGTGTTCTCCTTGGCGGCCTTATTAGGATTTTGTTTGTGGAATGAGGGGTTGAGGAAACCATCTTGTTTGACCTAGGCAGGTAGATGGCTTGGACCAGCTGTGGGAACAGAATGAGTTTTGTGTATGTGCATGAAAACTTAACATTTGCTTGTTGGTGCATGAACTAACATGTTGTGTGCATTCAAAGGGACATGTTTCTCTGTAGCGAGCTATTTGTGTTACTAGAGCACAATGGTTATTAAGGTAGCTGCACCTTACTGTGGATGGTTAGCACCACAAAGGCTTCCCCATTCTCCATGTTGTAGGAGAATGATTTTCTGTTCATAGATGGAGAGATGAAAAGCTTTTCCTTTTGGTTTCTGTTGCATGAAGTGCTAAGAAACCTTTTCTTTTTTGAAGGCGGGAGAACAAAAAACTAGGAAAAAAACACATTCTTGCAGCTGCTGGTACCAGTTACCAGTAAAAATAATAATGAAAATGTTTTGGGGTTACGTATCAAGTTAAAATGGCATTAATGAATCTTCCTCTCTCTTTCCTTTCGTGTAGTAAAACATGAAGACCACATTAGGGATTTCCTGCACTGTTATGCTATCATTCTTCTATGTACTCAAATCAGGTGGGTGATACAGAAATTGATTTTGTGGAGAACTTTTGTGGGGGGGGGGGCACGAAGCAATACTGAAACCCAGCAATCTTTGTTAGATGCCCCAAATACTCTAGGATTAAAACTCCGCCTTTTCACTGCTGTGCTGCCGATATTTGCTTTGTATGTTCACGATTATTCAAGGGTAAGTTTAAACTTATTATTTATTTCTTACATTATGTATTTATTTATTACCTCTGTAGTCCACCTTGTTTTTACCAAGGAGCACAAGGTGGTATACATGGCTGTCCCCCCTCCTCATTTAATTCACCACAACAACCCTGTGAGGTAGGTCAGGCTGAGAGGCAATCACTGGCCCAAGGTCACCCAGTGAGCTTCATGGCTTAGTGGGAATTTGAACCCTGGTCTCCCGGGTCCTAGTCTGACACTATAAACTAAGATTACGTAACATGCAACATTGTGGGTAGATGTAGTTGGCTCCTATTGGCTAGCTGAAGTTGATTTTTCCTTTAACAGTCAGTAAAAAAATCTCACTCGAAACTAAAAATAATAATATTTCCTCTACTCCTTGCAGAGAAATGCATTGTCCAGGATATTAAAATTGCTAACCCATACGTTGCTGAAGGAGAACCGCTAGGACGCCATTGTTTTTTTTACCCAACACCAGATCTTGAAAACACACCCTATAATTTCAGCTGGTATACAAGTGGAAATGAAACACCTATAACGAAAGACCCATCCTCCAGAATTCATCAGCGTGGAACAAAGCTGTGGTTTATTCCTGCAAGATATGAAGACTCTGGATTATATGAATGTGTTATACGGTCAGGACTTGCCATTAACTGTGGTGCATGTGTGTAAATGGCGGAGGGTGGTAATTCAGGATGTACCATTGGAAATCTGACTGCAGTGGTACCTTGGTTCTCAAACTTAATCCGTTCCGGAAGATAGTTCCAAAACCAAAGCGTTCCAAAACCAAGGCATACTTTCCCATAGAAAGTAATGCAAAATGGATTAATCCGTTCCAGACTTTTAAAAACAACCCCTAAAACAGCAATTTAACATGAATTTTACTATCTAACGAGACCATTGATCCATAAAATGAAAGCAATAAACAATGTGCTGCGGTCGCACAGTCAATCAATCAGTGGCTGAACTGGGTTCCACACAGTCACAAAAACAAAACAAATTTTTTTGCAAAAACAAAAACGCAAAATAAACAGTAAAAACAGACAGACCTCAGTGTAACACTCAAAACGGAAGCGTGGCACTCAAATTGGAGGCGAAACATTCAAATTGGAAGTGTAATAGTCAAAACGGAGCATGTTCAGCTTCCAAAAAAAGTTCGCAAACTGGAACACTTACTTCCGGGTTTGCAGTGTTTGAGTTCCAAGTTGTTTGAGTACCAAGGCATTTGAGAACCAAGGTACCACTGTATTTTCCAGTGCAACAAATCTGAGATAAGCAGATATTGTTTAATTGCTGCTTGAGGCTGTGCTTTGCAGAGAGGTTGCAGATCACAGAATTGTAGAATTAGAAGGGACCCCAAGGATCATCGAGATCAAACATTCCACTCAAAAGCAAAACTAAAACAAAAATCGCATACACGAGCACCCCAATTCAATTCCTTGCAAGTGGAGCAAGTCTGTGTTCACAGCTTGGTGCAAACAAAAGGTGCAAACAAAGGGTGCAAACAAAGGGTGCTCATCAGTGGTTCCTCTTCATCCTGGAGAAGAGTGACTAGTGGGGTGCCACAGGGTTCTGTCTTGGGCCCGGTCTTATTCAACATCTTTATCAACGACTTGGATGATGGACTCAAGGGCATCCTGATCAAATTTGCAGATGACACCAAACTGGGAGGGGTGGCTAACACCCCAGAGGACAGGATCACACTTCAAAATGACTTTGACAGATTAGAGAACTGGGCCAAAACAAACAAGATGAATTTTAACAGGGAGAAATGTAAAGTATTGCACTTGGGCAAAAAAAAATGAAAGGCACAAATACAAGATGGGTGACACCTGGCTTGAGAGCAGTACATGTGAAAAGGATCTAGGAGTCTTGGTTGACCACAAACTTGACATGAGCCAACAGTGTGATGTGGCAGCTAAAAAAGCCAATGCAATTCTGGGCTGCATCAATAGGAGTATAGCATCTAAATCAAGGGAAGTAATAGTGCCACTGTATTCTGCTCTGGTCAGACCTCACCTGGAGTACTGTGTCCAGTTCTGGGCAGCACAGTTCAAGAAGGACACTGACAAACTGGAACGTGTCCAGAGGAGGGCAACCAAAATGGTCAAAGGCCTGGAAACGATGCCTTATGAGGAACGGCTAAGGGAGCTGGGCATGTTTAGCCTGGAGAAGAGGAGGTTAAGGGGTGATATGATAGCCATGTTCAAATATATAAAAGGATGTCACATAGAGGAGGGAGAAAGGTTGTTTTCTGCTGCTCCAGAGAAGTGGACACGGAGCAATGGATCCAAACTACAAGAAAGAAGATTCCACCTAAACATTAGGAAGAACTTCCTGACAGTAAGAGCTGTTCGACAGTGGAATTTGCTGCCAAGGAGTGTGGTGGAGTCTCCTTCTTTGGAGGTCTTTAAGCAGAGGCTTGACAACCATATGTCAGGAGTGCTCTGATGGTGTTTCCTGCTTGGCAGGGGGTTGGACTCGATGGCCCTTGTGGTCTCTTCCAACTCTTTGATTCTATGATTCTATGAAAGCCTGTTTGACTTCAACCTCAAGCACCTTCTCCTGCGACTCCCAGGCCCAACAACTTACCTGCAGCCATAGGGAAGGCAGCAGAGGTGGAAACTGGCCCTTCACTCATATTAGAAACATCCATTTCCACCAGGTAGGATTTGGGAGTTCATGTTCCAATATGCCCAGGGTAACACAATGCTGTTTCCATTAATTTCCACTGGGAAGAAGGCCCTTGAGGCTATTTGCATCAAATTCCACAAGAGATGCTGGGCCATACTTTCATCTCCCTCCCTGACAAGAGTAGATGTCCTCCTGAGGAGTGGCAGTGCCTGCGGTTACTTCTACTGCCTTCCCCATCGCTGAGGGGAATCCCTGGGTCCTCGAGGGCAAGGAAAGGGGGAGGTGGCTGAGGTTGGTGTTCCATGAGCACCACTAAACTTTTTACAGGTGCTCTAAATCGGCATTGGGACGCGGGTGGCGCTGTGGGTTAAATCACAGAGCCTAGGACTTGCCGATCAGAAGGTCGGCGGTTCGAATCCCTGTGATGGGGTGAGCTCCCGTTGCTCTGTCCCTGCTCCTGCCAACCTAGCAGTTCGAAAGCAGGTCAAAGTGCAAGCAGATAAATAGGTACCGCTCTGGCGGGAAGGTAAATGGCGTTTCCGTGCGCTGCTCTGGTTTGCCAGAAGCGGCTTAGTCATGCTTAGTCATGACCCAGAAGCTGTACGCCGGCTCCTTCGGCCAATAAAGTGAGATGAGCGCCACAACCCCAGAGTTGGCCACGACTGGACCTAATGGTCAGGGGTCCCTTTAGCTTTAAATGGGCATTAGAAGCTTGAACTTTTGCAAGTGCTCAACTAGAGTGGCTTTCAAAGTATGACATGTCAGGGATTAACTTTAGGATGCTTGTATATCATACCTTGCATGCTGCCCCCAACGCTCATGTATATAGACAAAATGGTAATACCCGTTTTTGTCTTCAAAAGTTTGGCTGCCCTTTGCCAGCTACACTTTCATTGGAAGTTCTCACTGAAGAATCTTAACAATAAAGACTCTTGTGGTACCTTAAAGACCAACAAATTCGTTGTGGTCTAAGCTTTCATGGGCTGCAGTCCATTTTATCCATTCCATGCAGCACTGTCTTAAGTGGAAAGTATACAAAAGCTTATACGGTGGTTCCTCGGGTTACAGACGCTTCAGGTTACAGGCTTCGCTAACCCAGAAATAGTACCTCGGGTTAAGAACTTTGCTTCAGGATGAGAACAGAAATTGTGCAGTGGCAGCGGTAGGCCTCATTAGCTAAAGTGGTACCTCAGGTTAAGAACAGTTTCAGGTTAAGAACGGACCTCCAGAATGAATTAAGTTCTTAACCCAAGGTACCACTGTATACACTTGCTAGTCTTTATGTGACTTGAGACTTTTTGTTATTTTTGCTGAGGGATGACTGCCTTTTGGGGAATATTGTCAGATTTCATTCGAAGTTCTCATAATTCTAATTGACTGACACATGATTGTATAACAGGTCTGAATGTGTTTGACTCATACCAGTCAGAGCATCCCATTTCTTAGTATTTTCCAACACTAATTCCTGCTCCCTCTTTTCCATTGCACAAAGCCATTCAGCCAAAATGGTATGCCATCTATCTTTGTCCTAAAATGACTGGTAATCTTTAGTTCATCCTCCCATCACCTAATCCTCAACTTGATGAAGTTCAGTAAAACTACACTCTCTGGATGAAAGCATTTCTTCAGGCATTCACAGTTATTTGACTGTGGAATGTGCACATTCCAGTTTATTTCAGTGTTTGTGCTTGAATTCCAGCAATATTGCTTAAGTCCAGGACAATCCGAATGTTTTCAAAACATCGTTAAAAAACACTGGTAAACGATTTTGTTTTGGAAAACCTTCAAACTGACGTAAGATTGGAATGACTGTGCTCTTCCATTGGGCAACCAGATTGAACTATTTCGGCAGAGATCTTTTGAAATGATTCCTTTGCAAATTGGGAGATTTCAGATGTTGCATCCTTAGGTATGGAAGCGTCAGATTTAGGTCCTGTAATTTTAGTGGGTATTCGTTTATGACCATCTATTTCCCCATTTCCATTTGTTTACATATTTGGTCCAAGAAGTACAATCCTATATGTGTCTTCTCCAAGGGTGAGAAATCCTTTTTTTTTGCCTGAGGGCCACATTCCCTCTTGCATAACTTTTCAAGAGCCACATGGGTGGGACCAAGAAGTGGGCGGATC